ACAATCTAAAAGCCTGAAAAGTTACAAAGCTTTAAAATGTATATTTCAGAGTCTGTTATCTAGTCTCTTCAACTGAGTGACATTCTGAGGAACATACTTCTTAACTTCTTTCAGATGCACTTCATTAAATATTTACACCTAGTATAGCTGTTTTATTTTGGTGGGGTTTTTATCCATATGCTTTTCTAGAATCACTTTCCTCCTACCCACATACTCTACAAAATATGTGCTGCCTTATTTTGTAAAAAGTGAGTCACTTTAAACAGTCTAATTTATGCTACTAGAATTTGAATGTTGGAGAGAAGAGCAAGAATGAGGTAAACGCTATTTGATGTCTGTCTTTTCACAGTAGCACAATAGCTAATTCCTTGGGCCTCTGACCTTTTAGTGTCCTGTAACAGAGTACTTGCATTAATCTGTATCTTATCTGTCACCTACCACATTTGATATTTCCAGTCTCTGCTTTCAATTATCAGTCATTAGAGGCAGCACTGAGTAATTTCAGGAGAAAACGCCTGGAACCTTTGACCTGTTTTGGTCAGATAACCACAAGTGTTCACTGTAGATAAACTATCATTTAATTATATTCAAGATGTAAATGAGTGTCGTTTGTAGTGTATCAGCTTACTGTAACCTTTATCACCTTGAAGTGATTAAAACTGACTGGTTTACTTAGTATTTATACAAAGAATTTCGAGTCAAACAGTGAAATTCAGTGAGATTAGTGTAAATGGCCCTTTATAGTTACACAGGTCTGTAAGACCCTCCATTTTGCCCTGGCAGGTATAGTTAGTAGTTAAACAGTGGCATTAAGTTGATTAGTGAAGCTTCACTATTTGTGAATCCAGTTGGGATTCTGAGATCTTATATTGTAAAATCAGCATATTACAGCATATGGTTGTTTTGTTATTGATTTGCCAAAGCAGCTTTCACTTTCCCCATGTGTCACATACCAATATCTTCAGGAAAAGAGAAACATATATCAGTGGGGAGGAAAAACAAGCCTAACAGTTCCTCATGCACTATGACCTAAACTCATTGCTAGCACTTTTTACGCTTTTTAAGCTCAGTCAACATAATCAGACCTTTATAGTGGAATTGGTAAAATACTGATTACTTGTTATACTGTCCATCCATATATGTGCTTTGGGTGGCTTTAGGTAGTTCTTTTTTTCTTAAATTACGAATGTATTGTTAATGAAAATCAGTGCATGATATTTTTCTCTCGTTGTAAAAGAAGACCTTTTTTCCAAAATACCTTTTTTGTATAAACTTGACTTCTTTCTTCTTAGAGTTGGACTTAGTGTTAAAACAGTATGAACATTTCATCAGTTTGCCACGTGGGTGGAAAATATCATTCTTTCCCATTTTACACACAGGTGTTCGTGATATTCCCCTGAGCCATGATTTGTCTGATGTAACCATAGTGCTGCATATATTAGTTTCAGGTGGTATAAAAATACCATTTTTAAAAGTTGATGCTAAGAAACCTGAGCAATCAGAGCAAATGAAGAATTTTGTTGTAATCAGCATTAACCCTAATATTCTAGTTATTTTTACTTAGAAAAATTGTATTCCTCTAATGATTAAAAAAATACCTACTGATTTTCTGGTCAATTGGTTTTTAGAGTCTGTAATCGGTCCCACAGAGATGCATTTTGGCAGATGAACTGAGCAGGGCTGGAATGACATGAAAACACTCTGGAAGTACTCAATACTTAAAAATCTTAACCTGTATTTTTCAGGCTGCCAGGGTTGAAAAGCTCTCGCCTGTGAAATAAAAATACTTGAGACATGGTACCTCCCTGCACTTCATGCCATTTCAGCAGGACAAAGGATCTTAGAGGTTCTTTACTGAGCATTCACAGTCTTCCCTGAAAAAGCATTTATTAACTGCAGAGGGGATCAAGATTTGTGTATTATTTTCAGTATTAAAATACTCAATATCATTAAATAACATTTTTCTTTTTTAACTTGGCTATCATTCTAACCACTAGTCATTATTGCAACATCACCACCACCATCACTGCTATTTTACAGCTTATTATATAAGATTTTAATTTGTCTACATCTGTAAAAAATTTTTTTTGCTCAGTACATTGGCTAACAGAAATTTGCAGTTAGAGTTTCTGGCTTTATTGCGGAGAGTGGGATCTCCTCGGACCCAAGGTTTTTCTTGGTGTTCAGTGCCTGTTTCCTACAACCCTTCATTTCTACAGGCAAAGTCCTGGCCTTCCTATAAAGGGTGTCTCCACCCAAGGAAATTTTTAACTTATGTCCCTTCCAGATGACAGTGCTGTGTCTTCCTTGGGTATACAGGGAAACACAGATAAGTATTATCTGTGTGAGTTGTAATAATTAATTTCAGGCCCATGAGGAAGTGGCTATCAATATTCTTTGAGCAGTCATGAATGGTCCTGAGAGAACCCCACCAATGCAACTGAAGGGTATTTTACAGGTTTGTGTCCAAACTATATCATACAGGGAGAGAACTGCTGTTTCTAAACTAATGTTACTAATTAGAAAGTACTTAGTAGAAACTAGACAAAAGGAAACCTCAAATCCAAATAACAATAAATCAGACCAGGATTAGTGGCATTTAAATTTTTATTGTGGCATTATTTATGTAGTGGCATTAGGCGCTTTTATTCAGTGTCTAATTCTTCAGTGTTTACTCATAGTGTGTAGTGCTTAGTCACACATGCATATGGGGTTGCTACATTGTCTGTCTTTAATATAGTCTCATTTGAAGATTATTGACGTATCTGTTCCACGTCAATTTTGAAATGCTCAGTTGTAACCTTAGAAAATTGCAGCAGACTCTTTGCACTAGAAAAAAGCCTCTTGGCTCAGTGCTTTTGCATATGCTAATCTCTGCCAAGTTCTCTCTGAAATGAAAGGCTTTACATGGACATTTAAAAAAAAAAAGCAACAACTCCCAAACCTCAAGTCAGATCTCTGTATATATCTCACAGTTTAGAACTGGTCAGTGGAGCTGCTAAACAGACTGTATCCTGTTTCTCTTCAGCAGCAGCCCATTCATCTTCAGGTACAGAGCAGCCAGTTCACATGCTTCCACCTCTTTTCTGTTTTACTTTTGCGACATAGTGTTCCATGGCAAACCCAAGTAAGCTAAATATGCACTTGCGCCAAGTAAACCTCACAGTTAACAGACAATTTTCCTTTTGTCAGCCAGGAGAAAGTCAATTTTCACTGAAGATAAAGTGTTCTTATATCCTATATATTTTATTTTTGGTGGTTTTTAAGGCAACACAGATTTGTACATTAGAAAGAAAAAGCTAATAAAAACAAAGAGAGTTTACATTTTTGGAAGGGTGAAAGGGAAGCACACTGTAAAGGACTACTATATGACCACAGGTGACTTAACTAGTAACTACTGCTCTGAAAATAATGTTAAATACTTTTCCTTCAATAGCTCTCACTTTATTATGTCTGTAACCGTACTCTTATATGGCAAGCCCAAAATGATATTTTCTTTTTCTTTTAGTGCATTTGTATTTTGTAAGACAACACATACTTTATAATAAACAGATATGCAGATTTATATATAAATTATATAATTATATGTATCTACATGCAAACACATGCACACTGTATACATAGACAAAACTTCTTGGGAGGCACATATATATGAGCATATAAGTATAAATATACATAAATATTTTAATAATTTACACATTATTTGTACATGTAGCATTTAGTAATCCAAATGAGAGCTTTTTCAGAACTGACATTGTTCCTCCCTCAGATCTGAGGAATAAAATGAAATAAAAGAGCAGAGGGTACAGCATTTAGTGGAGCTGGGTGCAGCCATAAATGTTTAGCTGGTTATCTAAACCAAATCCCAGCTCTGAGTTTTAGGTTTGTCCACCATGAGTAAAATGAAACACCTATCTCACGAGGCAGGTAGAACTTCTCCAGAAGAGAGAAATTCTGTCTTCTGGTGGAGCGCAGCTTCTTCAAAGGTCAGTGATATGTTGTATACTGTGGGAGTGGAAACCCTGGGTCATTTTCCATTCCACATCCTTAAAATCTTAAGTATTAATCCCATAAGGTGTTCATCAGCCAGTATTGTGGCCTGTAGTTTCTGTTGACACATCAAAACATATATTCCATTGCAAAAGTTGCTCCTAACTCAGAGTCAGAATGGCAGCAGATAGCGGAATTAGACCCAAACCAGTTATAAACTCAAGTAAATTAAAATCCTCTATTTACTCCCTCTTACATTCTGTAGAATTCTGAATTAGGCAATAATGAGGTTTACTTTTTAACTTTAAATTGTGGCAGTGTCATAAGCAGTGAAAGCCTGCATCTGCCCACCCAGATTTGAGGGGACTTCTCAAGCCAGGACTACGCTTCCTATGCTGCTGAGATGTCAGAACCACTCAGCCCTGGCTCATGGCTCCTTCTTCTGACACTGGCAAGATGACATGTATGCCATTAGAGTACAACTTGTGTTAATTTATATGACTTAACTGCTTTTTAAATATATAGTTGTTGCAGTACACTTTAGTACCACTTTAAAATTTATTATGTTAAACGGAAATGAACAGCATTCCTCTCATCTGCCTGGTTATTAGTGGCAATTAGTGTTTTCCAAAGTCATCTATAGCTCTGACATTGCTACTGCTGTGCTTATGACTACACTGAAGTCCTAAATCCTTTCACAGCTTTTAGTTTGTCCATATTTCTAGTTACTTTACAACATGCCCCCTTTCAGCCTTTTCTTTATATTCTTTCCACTCCAGCTTCTGGAATTTATATAAAAGCCACCAAGGTTTTTTTTCTTTTGAACTGAAGACACTGGGCTGGTGGAATTTCCTTTAACTGGAAGTATGTCTGGGCTTGTGGTTTTATTATTTGCACAGTTTTATATTGTCATGTTTGTTTACTCCCAAGCAGAAGGAACGCTCCATTAATCATGGGAAATGGGCATTCCTTTCACGTCTTTAATTTACACTGAACTCTTTTTCTCACAGTTGAAAGGGACAAGGACTTCTCCCACCAGCGAAGGCACTATAAAGAGTTTCGCTTTGACCTTACTCAGATCCCGCATGGAGAGGCAGTGACAGCAGCCGAGTTCCGAATATACAAAGATCGAAGCAACAGCCGCTTTGAGAATGAAACCATTCAGATTAGCATATATCAGATCATCAAGGAGTATCCAAACAGGTACCCGCTTGGCATGAAGACATAACATGTGGAATACCATCTCATGTGTTTCTTAAGTAGGGAGACAATAATTGATCATGAGCGTACACCTAGTAAGGCATTATTGTTATCACTGTGGCTTGTGCAATATTAATTCCTAGGCAACAACAACAAACACTGAGAAAGAATTAAAATGATCTTAAATGTAATTTATTCCAGGTTTATGTCCAAGCTCACCAAATAGTCTGCCCATGAAAAGAGTGGGTGAGGGTTCTTTTCTTTGAACAGGAAATATGGGTGTCTGACAGGGCTCTGCAATCCCAAACACAGTACCTGCTATGCTTTTAGGCAAGAAGTGGCCAGGGTTCAGGGTTTCCAAGTTGCAAACTAAAGATTATGCTCTAGTCTCGAGCATTTTCCTGTCTCTGTGGCATCATGGCTACTGAAATGTGTGTGTGTTTAAATCCCTTGGAGTTTGCTGAAATTCCAGGCTTTGGGAGTGAAGTTTTCTATTTTTCCTAAGGAAGCATGTACAGCACAGCCCGTGGTAGGCTAACTTTCCTACGCAGCCCTGCCAATGTACTCCTACCCAGACTTTTTCTCATGGTGAATGTGAATATAGTCCACGATTTGATGGCAGCTAGCCACTAATGTAAGTAAACCTCAAGGGTTCTTTCCACATTAGGGAATCTTCAAGTGGCATTAAGATAGAAAAGCAGCTTTCTGAAATGAGGTGTGAGGTAAAATAGCATCACCAGGATGGCCTATTACATTTTGATCTGATCAAAAACTGTTCTGGGTTTCAAGGAACATACAGATGGTTTATTCCACCTTTACTTCCTTGAATGACCCAGGACATGTGGAGCTTCTCAGACGCTCTGCCTGCAGCCTCTTTGCTGAAATTCTTGACCGTGGTAGCATTTCTCCTGTAGACAACTGGTAATTTGGGACTAGATACTAAACTTAAACAGCCTCCATAAAGGTAAAGCAAATCAGCTGTATTCTGCCTGAATGTGTTGACTGTTGCATTTCAGGCTATTTATGACATAACGACTAACTTTTTTATTATGTGTTGTGGGCAATCTTTTAAATATAATTTTTTTTTAAATTACAGACAACATATGCAGCTGTTTTAAGTGTGACAGTTTTTTTCTTTTCACAGAATAATAGAGAATTTTAAAATTAAAAATGCCACAAAACGGGATGAGAAGTTTGAGGTAATGACATGACCTAATGGGAGAACCCTGATCCCAGAGCTCTCACTGCCCTCTCAGGGGTCAAGTTTTTACCCTATGTTTGTATCAATTGTAAAAGAAGTTATTTTTTTTCCCTGACAAATACTTTGGATTTCTGTAGTAAATTGCTGTTATGTAGGCTAAATCATTAGCATTGGTACAGAGACACTTTCTCTATGTATTTTCAAGGATCAGTTCTGGTTTTCTCTGGGTATCCACAACTCATTTTAGTTTCATGTGCAGAGTTAATGGGTAAGAGCATTCGGCCTGGTTTGAGTCTATTATCTTGGCCAATGCCAAAGACACTTTGATGTGAGTATCTGCTGCACTGCAAAGTGGTAATGTCACCCTGAGGAGAGATCCACAGGGGAAATTTGTCCTTCAGCAGAATTTCTGGACTGTGGTAGTAATAGTGCCTTATTCTGATTTGACATGTGAGACACTGTACATCCTGGCTTTTGAGAACATTTCATATCAGTCCCAGCAAAACTTGGAATAGAAAGAATCTATATGAGAAAACAATTATGTATTCTAGGAGGAGAGAACTGTGAAATTATATCATTGTGATATTTTAATATTTTCCAAGCAATTTTACAGTTTTCTATTAAATCTACTGAGTGATACAAAAATATTTATAAATAAACATCTCAAAGACTATTACAGTCAGAATTAAACTTTTCCACTTTAAAATTCTGATAAAGTGCTTATTAGAGAAAAAAGCTGGCATTTAAGACTCCAGAGAGTACTATTTATGAGCTTGTGATACGTTGTTAATTTGTTCAGTGCTTGTAGAGTAGATCAGGTTCTTTGGCATTGTAACATTTTCTTCATGTTAGCTCCAGAGGGGGAATGCAATTGTTTTCTCCTTGTGTGGTCATTAGCACAGTTCTAGAATGGAAGTGATAAAAGACCAGCAAAAGATTATCCTTTAACAGAAGAAAAAAAAATGGTGACTTGAAAGAAAGCCCCTTCAATTCCTTTTTTACAAACAATCTTCCTTTATAATTTTTGAGCTCTTTAATCTGATTCTGCAGATATATCTTACATATACATGTAAGTAAACATATGTTTGTCATTGTTTGTCATTATTTGGCTTTATTTTCCTCAGTGTTGAGCAACCACAGCTTCAAGGGATAAAGATGATGCTGTTTTCAGTATCAGACATTTTAGGTGCATTTACGGTGTTTAATCTAGATAAGACAGTAACTTTCTTAGTTGTCATTGCAATTAAACACCATAAAAATACAGTGACAGGATCACAGGCATTTTAAACCCACTTTTAGACACAAAGCCTACTATTTCTGTCTGTCTTTCCTATTTAAGCATATAGTCATTCTGTCTGTAAAGCAACAATACGATTCCCAGATCTGTGTAAGCCAAGACTGTCTTTAGTTGACTTGTACAGTTAAAATTTAAAATAAAACATTTGGTTTTGTATCTTATTGTTTTGATTACTATTTATGGAAGAAAATAAATAGGTTTCTATACCTATAGATTTAGATTTAAAAGATTAAATGGTGAAAACAGTTTTTAATAATGCTTCCTGCTTCATAGAAGCATGTACAACGAAACTGATGAGAGTTAAATATCTTGGGTTTAGTGTGGTCATTGTAGCAAATTATTTGCAATACAGATGTTGTTCTGGAACTAATTTTGTTAGGAGATATGTGAAAACAAAACAAATAAATGACCCATGGTAAAAATTTAGTAACACAATTATAATAACTTCTCTGAGCAACCCTTCTCAATTATGGGGAGATTTCATGGGAAAAAATTTAAGACTATACCAGGGAACTGAGGGTTAAAATGTAATAATTACTTTATTAATAGATACATAATCTCTGCTTTGATATAGAGATATTTTCTAAAAATCAGCGCTAATAGGAAATTATCTGAACTGTCATCTATTCATGTTTTGTCATAGCATACAGCTGCTGTCATATGTCATTAACAACAGATCATTTTAGCAATGCTATGCCTTTGAATTTTAGTTGAAATTGGAACGAGGTTTTGACATATTTTGTCTTTTACACTGAAAGGTTTGCAAAAGTTAATCTTCCTAAGACATTCTAACGGTGAAAAATGAATTCTTTATATACAGCCTCAATTATATATTTTGTGTATTTCTATCAGGAAGCTGGATTTTTCAGATTTTCCATAGCTGTAATTTTTACATGCTGAGACTCATTTCAGAAAGGCCTCTTAGGGAAAATACCTTTATTATACATAACAATTACTTGTTAGCTACAGCACATGCTGTACTGTGTCATGATGAGGATATGTCAAAGAATTATTCATTTAGACTTCAAGAAGTTATTGCCAGCAAGAAAATTAAGGACAAAAAATAACAATATTTGAATGCCTTAACTCTCCATTTTCTTTAACTTAGGGATGCAGACTTGTTCCTGTTAGACACAAGAAAGGCTCAAGCTTCTGATGTGGGCTGGTTTGTCTTTGACATTACTGTGACCAGCAATCACTGGGTGATTAATCCACTGAACAATCTGGGTTTGCAACTCTGCGCTGAAACAGGGGATGGTAAGATTGAAACTGTAGATTATAACACCCTATATGCTATTGTCATATCTTGCTAAGAATCTTTTCTGGATGGGTGTTTTGTGTTTTTTTAACTTGACTGGGTGACAATTCACTGAAAGCTTATAAGCAAAGAACAAAAGTCTTATCTTGCTGTAGTTATGGTCTGCAAACTTCCTATTATTCTTAATTCTGGACAATATGGCAATTATAAATCTAACTGAATCAAGTGAAATTAAATGAGGTTTGGGATGAAAGTTCCTACATATAAAATAAAGTTCCATTTTAATGTTCTTCCACTTTCCTCAGGAAACTGAGGCAGATTTGCCGAATCTTTGTTTTAGAAAGTTTCTAAAGAATTTTCTGGAATGAAGAATGGAAAAAGTTACAAAATAACCTCAGGACAGTTCAGAAGGTATCTCATAGCTGCTGATACTGATTTGGAGAAAGGTTAGCAATAGGGTAATGTGGGAATTGGTTTTCTGTAATTAAAAAAAAAATTTTATTAATTTTTTTTATCTTGAATGGGTTAAAAATTTGAAATCTTGAGAATTTTAATTAACTGAAAATTAGAAAAACCACTATCAAAACTGAAGTCAGAGCTGTGGGGATTTTAATACAAATTTACTGGGCTACTGCATTATTCCCAGTTATGCTCTTCATTAAAATTGAAAATGCATCTCAATGCAAAATAATATTTTTAGAAGAAATGTTCTTTACTTAGACTTCTTCAGAAACTAATAAAAAGAGACTTATAGACTGTTTTTTCTGTGATGGTTCACTTAATCTATACTACTTTACAAGCAAACTCTCAGATTTAGCTCTTTCTTGTCAAAGAGCTTTTTATGTCAGAGGTCAAAGAATCTATGATGCCAGTTAATCTAAACCTTAGCTGACATAATGTTAATGAGTAGCAGAAGAAACTCTGGTGTAAGGATTAATATTTTTTTCTTCTTTCTTTGTTCTGTCTACATTTTCTCATTGGTTTTGATCTAAATTCTCCCTCGGGCTCAGCTGGGCTGTGAACAAAGCATCTCATACTTTTTCAGCAAGTGCCCTGGCTGCTGGAGAGTTATGCAAAAACTGTCCTTTAGGCATGATGCTTAAAAACAGAGTTGGCAGGCTTGCACCAGAACAGACGACCATTTCATCTAATATTACCTATACTGTAGGAGTACAGTAAGTGGAAAAGGGAGGCAGCAATGCAACGTAGACCATGTTGTTGATGCCTTCAATCAGCATTCGTAGGCACCACACCTGAGCTTGGGCTGTATGGGGAGTGAATCTCTTAGGCAGCCTAGTTTTGTGAGGCCATCTTAAAGCCCTTAAAATTCTGAGGAGGTGACACTTCCATCAGGCATCCAAATTAGGTGGACTGCTTTCTGGCCAACTTTTCTGCTCCAGAATAAACTCCATCCTTGGCTTTTTTATTTCCAGGATATTCAAATACAGAAATTGTTGAAAATTAAATATCCACAAAAGACATTCATTAAGAAACCCTGGAACCACCAATCAGTTGGTTCTAGCCTCAAAATTATATCCATTCAGTAAACAGCAGGAAAGTTTGTATGGGTAAAAAGAAACTTTTAAGTTAATACAATGAAGAAATTGTAAAAGAATAGTTCACGTAAATATTACCCCTGTCCTACTCCCAAGATCAGAAAGGTGGTAAATAATTTTCTATTTTAAATTCCAAAGCCATAAGCAGCCTTACTTTTTGCACCTCACTTATTTGACTTTCTCAACACAGCTGCTTGACTGAGGAGGGAATTCCCCTTTTCTCTCACTTTCTGTTCCCTTTTCAGTTTATTCATGCAAGAAGAGTGCCCTTCTAGGGAGTAAAGTTTTCAAAACTATAGGGCAGACCTGTGCTACACCACTTCAGCTTAGCATAAGGAAAATCATCCTTTCATAGTCTTACAATTTTGCTCTTAAGGCTTTGATTATTTTTATTGGGTTGCTGTTACTTCTGGAAGCTATTAGAAATACTAGCAGTTGAATGACACATCTGTGTACAGATGGAACATGAATTTTTATATATGACTCAGTGTGTAGTGGACTTGGTTTGTAACCCAGAAAACCCCACCCACCTTCCCTCCAACCAGTTCTCTGTGAAAGCTCAGAGACTGGTTCAAATCAACCGAAAAACTTCCCTTGGCTCAAGTGAACTTCAGGCCCTGCAGGTCTGAAGGATGTTTCTTCATGCCTCCAGCTGTCAAGCGAGTTCACAGGAGGTAGAGGAGTTCTGCCTCCGTAACTGGAGAGATATTTATAAGACCTGATCCATTAACCTTTCTATTGCAACAGACCATTAAACTAAATGGGATTCTGATAAGTAAGAGGATCCCTGTTTGAGGTATTTAGGTGCCACTAGGGGCCTGGATAATCAAGTCTGTAAATACATACTAATTTTTAGATTTATTCATAATGCGCCTTTAAAATATGGTGTCAATATTTGCTGAGACTCCAGGGTGCTACTATATTGTTATCATTACCATTAAAAATAATTTCTTATAGTTATCTTTCAGAGACTTTTTAGGCAATTACTTGTGTAGATATATTTCTTTGGATTCCTGAAGATGGTGCGTAAGTAACAATAATGTCTACAGAAGGAATAAAATGAAATTGTAACTATTTAATATAATAGTGTGAAAAAACAACTTTGGAAGAATGTCTGGTTGTTGTAATTCATATTATTCTCCCTTTGAAAATCCTGAAAAAGTACAAAAAGCCACATGACGTTGGAATGTGTTTTCTTTTTTCTTTAAGACAGTATTTGGTATCATACATCCCTTTTTAACATGAAATGTACACTTCTTCTCTTAATGTGACGTTTTATTTTGAACAGTAAGAGTAAAGGTTTGCATGACACATATGGAAGCTGTCAACATATAATGCACTGTTTCCCTTGGGCTGTGGTAAATTAAGGATCATAGCTTTTTGATTCTGTTTTTTAATGTCTCCTCAACATTCTGCAGCACCCCCTTTTGGCCGATTCCCTCCTCTTGACCAAAACTCTCTGCAGTGTTTAGAACAATAGGTGATCTTTTTCACACTGATGGATGCACGGGTGTCAGATGAATTGCAGCATAAAATCAGTGCAGATGCAGAAACAATTCAAAAAGCTCCATGCAACATTTGTCCTGTATATATAATATATGTCTCCTAAGACTTAAAACATGTTCCAGTGAATCAGCACCTTTTTATTAATATTTAGCATTTTTATAATTAGAAGTTAGCAATGGTCTGAACATCACTTTTGCTGAAGGAGTGTAAACAGCTACAAGAGTAGTCCTTTTTCTGTTTATGTCATTGCTGAAGAGAATATAGCATTGTTTATAGAAAATGGAAGAAGGAGATAACATGTAAGAATGACTGTTGGCAACCCACAGAATAAAACAGGTTCCAAATACAGAGCTCTCAATACAACATCCTGGGTAGCCCCACACTCATGTAGTTCTGTGCCTTTTATTAGATTACTGCAACTCTCAGTTATTTTCCATCCACCAGCATGTCGGTGGGGAAGAAAATGTTGGCAACTCTGAAAAGCCAAAGCTGATTAAGGTGATTTTTATTACCATGTAGTTCCATGGAAGGTTTCTTTGGGCATTCCTGCTGTTTGAGGTGGGAAAGCAGCAGGATTTTTTTCCTCAGAGCAAAGAAAAACTTGAAAGAAATAGCTTCCTTGATACAAGTGGAACCTGGGGAAGGCCATTTCTTCCTCCGGCATGTATTTGGGTACACTCTCATGTGTGTCCCTTGGAATAGGTTTTGTATTCTAACCCTACACGCTGCCTGAAGGATAGGTGAGGTTCTTCTCCAGAGACGATGGGGGAGAAATTAAAAAACATGCTCTTCTTTTTTCACCTCTTTTCCTTTCAGCCTGGTTCTTCCAAGGTCCCTTCTCCTACTAAACCTTCAGAAAGGCAACAGGACCATATCCTCACTGTTGCATAGAATGCCTGGTTTGCTTTCAACCCACAGAAACCTGTAGCAGCACCCTGGCTTCTTCATGTACTTGACCGCATATTTTACATTGGTCTTGGCCTCACCGTTACCACCCTAAATGTTACCAATCTTATCATGCAGCTGCCCCTAGACAACCTTGGCACCGAACTTACATGACCATTGTAGCCATCAAGTACTCTGGAAGATGATGCTGGGTTGTTACCTTTAAATCTCTTGACAGATCTGGTATTTACAAGGCAAAGTATCAGAAGCAAAATCACCTTCATTACTGTCCTTATAGTGGGGGTACTTACTATTTATATTGATATACGTATGGACTTTGGCAGGCAATAGCTCTGATTAAATTCTGAGCCATCTGGAAGCGATATGGCCATGTTAGCACAGCACTGAACCCAAGCTAATACATCCTGCCCCTCAGCAGGTTTTATTAGTTTGGGCTCAAGCACTGCCTAAGTACAGCTACATACGTTCTGGTTCAGAGCTGACTTTGGCCAAAATTGCACTAGTAAATTAAACATGCTCAGGAATACTGTCATGTGAAGTAAGCTGAAGGGATGATTCTCTCAGTCTCCAAAACAGGGTGACCCCATGGCATCTGTCCCCGTGGGAAAGGTCTCTGTGGCACTGCCCTGAGGTGCTGGGGACTCTGTGGTGGAGGTGGTTCAGGATGTAAGTGCATGAGGAGCACACTCCCACCCTGAGCAGAGTGGATGATTCAGCTCCAGCACTCTAATTTGCTCAGATAGGTGTAACCATCATTTCCAGCTGGGTCAGAAATACAGTCAACATTGTGTCGGCTTGTAGCAAGTGAGCACACCCCTGGTTATAAGGGCACCCTGACTTTAAGCAGAAGAATCAAGGAGGCGAGTGAAACGGGCTCCTGCTCTGTCTTCTGCCACCACTGCATGCCGGTGCACACTGGTCCTGGCTGTACAGATGTGCAACTTCCCCTCCACCCTGCTCCCCAGACAGATGAAGGATGCATCTACTTCTCAACACTGTTATTTTGAAGATAATGGCATTTGTGTTTCATT